CATACATACATACATACATACATACATACATACATACATACATACATACATACATTCATACATACATACATACTATACATAAGTATGAGGTGAACTAAAGATGTTGTTGACATAAGCAGCTCACTATTTTTGGAAACAGAGCCTCTTCTTATCTCTGCAGTATACAGTAGACAACACTTGAAGTGGATCAAAATCTTTCATTATGTCTTTGGATAAAGAACTATTTTTGATCCACTTCAAACGGTGACTCCTGAATTCTGATCTCATTTATAGCCATCATCAAACCATTGCACTGCCTTCACACAGACACTACAGTACATGTCACCACAAGAAAAGTCTCTCCTCTCTCTCTAACTCTCCTCTCCGCTCATCTCGACCATCCTCACCTTCATCCTCTCATCACAGAGTTTAAATCCCCAGCTCGTCTCGCCACCAGCCGCCTAGCTCCAGTAGCCTTAATTGTCCAAACGATAAGGACGACGTAATTGGAGAACTGCGCAACTGTGAAATGGATTTGAGTTCCATCTCACGCTAATGAAGCTATTTACTAAGTTGAGAGCATTAAACAGTCTTGTCGGATTTCTGCCGGATTGCTTTTTCCAACGTTTCTGCAAACTTAAATCTGTATTTCTACTCATCCCACTTGATGCTCAGTAAATATTTCAATATGCCGTATTCAAATTATTTTTTTAAAGCATAATTAGATTTGGAATCAATTTGTGCATTGCTAAACGGGGATTACATCCAAACAAGAGTGTCGCTTCTTGACCTAAAAATGTGTCTGCACTATAAACCACAGCAGTTGAGCCGCTAATGAAACTCTCAGAGGCTAAATATTCTGTGCTTTATGGTCTTCCTTGTACTTTTATCAGATTGATGGTGTGTAATTGCGAGAGCCGGGTGTGTTTTGAAAAGCGTGTTTTATAGCAAATGAATCAACATATCATCTCTCTTCTGAGTGGGCCTTTAGTACAGCGCCATGTCTTTTGTTTTGGGGAAAACAGGCCATTTAGTGTCTATGCAGTAATGGCTCGCAGTGTCATAATGGCAGTAGTAAAGTGGTATTTCAGAGGAAGGCCAGTTCACAGTTATCTGTTGAATCTATTCTATATACATAATTATGCTTGCATTGTGTATTGAATATGTACCTTTTCACTAAAATGAAATGGAGGCTATATTATGCAGATTTGAAAGTGAAGCTGTCATGGAGACATTGTGTGTGTGTAAAGTGGTAGATGACCTTTTTGTACCAACATTTTTGCTTGGGGGTGTATGTGTTAGGAAATGTTCATTAGAAATGCAGACACCAATACAATAATTTAAATTTATTTGTCATTTCTATTTAACTGAGCAAAAAAAGTAAATAAAAACAATTACAAAATAAAAATAATAATAGTAATAATAATAATAATAATAATAATAATAATAATAATAATAATAATAATAATAATAATAATAATAATAATAATAATAATATTTCATAAAATAATTTATTCATTTTCTTTTTGACTTAGTCCCTTTAATTAACTGGGGTCGCCACAGCCGAATGACCTGCCAACTTATCCAACATGTTTTTATGCAGTCGATGCTCTTTCAGCTGCAACTTATCACTGGGAAACCCATACACTTTCATTCACACACATACACTATGGACAATTTAGCCTACCCAATTCTCCTGTACCGCATGTCTTATGACTGTGGGGGGAAACCGGAGCACCCGGAGGAAACCTACGTGAACTCAGGGAGAACATGCAAACTCCACACAGAAATGCCAACTGACCCAGCCAAGGCTCGAACCAGCGACCTTTTTGCTGTGAGGCGACAGCACTACCCACTGCGTCACTGCGCCGCCCCAATAAGAATAATAATAATAATAATAATAATAATAATAATAATAATAATAATAATAATAATAATTATTATTATTATTATTATTATTATTATTATTATTATTATTATTATTGTTGTTGTTGTTGCTTTTGTAATAATAATATTAAATTGCAACAACAATAGTAACAATAACAACAACAATAATAATAATAATAATAATAATAAATTACAAAAAAAAATAATAATAATAATAATAATAATACATTTCATTTATTTATTTATTTATTTATAAAAACCCATTTCTAATAAATCTGACACCAAAATGTGACATTAAAAGTTATAATTTTGAGATAAAAATGCTAAATTATGACAAATAAAATGGGTGTTATAAAAGACGATGTAAAACTGTTTTTTTTTTTTAAAGAAGTCAAATGTAAAATATGTAAAAAAGTTTAAATTACGACTTAATGACTTGCACAGCATGTGTGTTTATGTGAGCGTTGTGTATTTTTGACAGTTTAAGCTCTACAGGATGCAGATTACATTAAATCATCTGCCCTCTGACTACCATTTCATGTGCTCCTGCTTCAGATGTGACGGGTTTAAGATGCATGCAATAAATAAACTTTAATACTGATGAAGAACTGCAGTCACGTGAACATAACAGCTTTTGAGATGATAGTTAGAACCAAATTAATGTTTCAGACAGTGAATAACAAACAGGAGATGGAGCAGTGGCTGGGGAGCAGCATATTATTTACATTTAAAAAGACACTCACTCACACACACACAAAATTATCAAAAGGTGGCATTAAAAGATCTATGAGAATTTTTTAACTGAAACCTCACTTTCTGAAGACCATTGCTTCAGTTATATTTTACAAAAAAAACAAAAAGAAAACAAGCAAAATATGTCCCCTTTAAAATAAGCATTTTGGCGTATTCATTTTTGGACCTGTAATATAGTTTTAACTGCTTTATGCACAACCCATTACCCATACCCATTAGGCATCAATGATGTGTAAACATGGATGATGATGTAACAATTTATCCATCTATTTCAACTTAAAGTGTTTCAGAATTGTATGTTTTGTGTAGTTTTCTTTTTCTTTTGGCATCTTTCAGTAAATTCTTTTTTTTTTTTTTTTGGACTGTAAAATAAGTATGTTTCATTAACGGCTTTGGCTTTGGATGAATATTTAAACATTTAAAAATATTCAGTTAGCAAGAGATCATAAAAGTTGCATGCATAAAAATTATTCCAAAATGAGATTGATAATTTGAAATGGTTGTAGATGAAGTATAACATGTTGCCCAGCAGGGCATTGCCGTCACAGCTTGAAATGTTATGCCAGCGCACTCAGATCAATGTACATCTGAATCCCGTCACACTTACAAACTCTTGATAAAGAATTACCACGCGTTTGTAAGAGGATGTGTGGCGTGCAGTCAGCCGGAACAAGAGTGTGCATGCAAATGCTGCCGTGGAAATCCAATTACACCATTTTACAACCACCGTGCTCGTAACGCACACAAACAAACAGACACATACACCCAAACACACATGCACAGTCACACAAACACACTCGTACAGCTTTTTTATGTGGACATCTCATCTTTTATACACTACAGACACTGTATATTCTATCCCCCTACCCATGCCCTACCTCTAAACCCAACACTCCCAGGAAACATTCTGCATTTTTGCATTTCCAAAATGCTTTGTTCTGTAAATTTTATGAACTGTTTTCCTCATGAGGACCACAAAAAAAGTGCATTAATGCATTAAATTATTCAAAATCCATATTTGTATCACACTTATAACACTTCACAAGATACATATTTTAATAAATGCATTTCTTGATTTTTATTTTAATTTTATTTTTATTAACTAATTGTTTCTGAAGGTTTTATGCGTTTAATAGAAAACAGTTGTTTTATAATATTTTTTTTCCCACAAGTGTATATAAATACAGTGTACACTGTGTTTATAATGTATTAAATACAGCTTTCTTGAGTTCTAAGACCATCTTTTTTTCCCTTCCTTTTTTGACATAAAACTGCAAATAAAAAAAAAAAGTTGTATTTGTGTTCTTTAGTGATTCATTATATGCAAGTAAATTCCTACCACCACTTTCAGAGTGGAAAAAGTTCACATAATAATGATAACAATAGGTGACGCAGAGGCGCAGTAGGTAGTGCTGTCGCCTCACAGCAAGAAGTTCGCTGGTTCGAACCTCGGCTGGGTCAGTTGGCATTTCTGTGTGGAGTTTGCATGTTCTCCCTGTCTTGTGGGTTTCCTCCGGGTGCTCCGGTTTCCCCCACAGACCAAATACATGCGGTATAGGTGAATTTGGTAGGCTAAATTGTCCATAGTGTATGAGTGTGAATGAGTTTGTGTGGATGTTTCCCAGAGATGGGTTGTGGCTAGAAGGGCATCCCGTGCGTAAAAATTGTGCTGGATAAGTTGGGGGTTCATTCCACTGTGACGACCCTGGATTAATAAAGGGACTAAGCCGAAAATAAAATAAATGAAAGATAATTATAATAACAATTGTTATTCTTGTTATTATTATTATTATTATTAGTAGTAGTAGTAGTAGTAGTAGCAGTAGTTAATATAATTAGTGTTCATTTGTTTTGCCTGTATATTCCTTTTTTATTCTCAAAATGTGTGTAGCTATTGATTTTATTCATTTGCTCGTTTTTCCATTCGTTTTAATTTTTGGATGAACTATTAGCTTGTTACCATCTTGTAAATGCAAAAAAAATAATAATAATTACAGTACGCAAGCCAAGCATTCACAAATGCGTCCTTACAGTGCATAAAATATATTGCTGGCCTTATTTCAGAAAGCTCCCTGAGCTCGTTCAGCAGCTGAAACTCTGGAGATGCGTTCAGCTTACCATATGGTCAGAATTACCGTGAATGTCTATATTCATTAGTGTGCGTATCGCTGGAAGAGGAAAGCATCAGCATCACTCTGCAGTTAAGAGACCTCACCTCCCCACATGTTCTCATTGGCTGGAGCTCTGTTTACTCACAGAACCGCTCTCTCTGGCATCTAGACAGCTGTTTAGTGCAATGAGGTGTTAGCGTTGAAGGAATCATTCAAGACAAATGCTAATTCTTACATCTGTTTTTTTCTTTTTTTTTTTTTTTCTCCCAGTGACGAAGACGGTGTGCGCGGAGCAGTGTGATGGCCGCTGTTTTGGGCCGTACGTCAGTGACTGTTGCCATCCTGAATGTGCTGGAGGCTGTTCTGGACCAAAAAACACAGACTGCTTCGTATGTCTTCTGTATTCTTATAAGACACACAAACACACACATAAACATGTTGTCATATTAAGAGTTGCTGATCTTAATCTCTGCTGTTAGTTTTTGTCACGTTATGCGTGATCAAAACAGAACAAAAACAAAAGGTGCGGATCCAAGTGCAGATATTTATTTACAGTGAAACAAACAAGGTGATCAAAATACAAAGTAACAAACAAACGACAAAACCAGAAACTAAATCAGAGACGAGGCTCAGAAACAATAACTCTACAAACTAGACTTTAGCAAAAAATACAAAAACAAGATCAGGAATAACAACTCGGAATATCAGACTTACTGGAACTGGAGATAAGAGAGACAAGGTAGACAAACGACGCGATGACAAACAGAGGTGGAAGGGTTGTATAAATAGTCCAGATAATCAACGGTAACACAGAACAGATGTGATGACAGGTCAGTGTACATGTTCCGGTGTATGTGCGTGGTATGTATGGAAATGTAGGGCTCTATTTTGACGGTCCATGTGCAGAGCGCAAAACGCAGGGCGCAAACGCTTTCAGGGCGTGTCAGAGCGCGTTTTTGCTAATTTAAGGACGGGAAAACCTGCTTTGCGCCATGGCGCATGGTCTAAAAGGGTTGAGTTTATTTTCTTAATGACTTCTAGGTGTGTTTTGAGAATAAACCAATTAGAGTCTTATCTCCCATTACCTTTAAGAGTCAGCTGCGTCGCGCCAAGAGCGCATTCGATATTTACAGGACGCAAAGTAAGTCCAAGTGGAAAAAATGAGCATTTCACTAGCAAACAGTTAACAGATTTTTAACAGAAAACTGTTAAACAGAGCATCTACTGCGTGAGAATGAGAGATAATGGATCACTTTCACATTCGCTCTTGGATAGGGAAACCTTTACGCACAGACATCAATTAGTCTACAAATAAATAATTTTGTTTGTTAAGCTATTAAGCTATTGCTATTATTAATAGCAAAACTATTTCTAAATTCAGTTATATTTTCCAGCAAACTAATAAATGAACAATAATAACAAAATGAGCTCAAAAACCTGAGTTATATCATAAAACACATGCTGTGCCCCTTATGGTCTAAAACCTGACAGGTGGGCAAATCTAAGCTTGTTTTTAATAAAACAAATATAAATATGGATATAACAAATAATACTGCTAATAATAATAACATTATACTGAAGCTAATTGTTATGAATGAACTGAAAAAGCCTCCCGAGATGAAGAAGACATAAAAGCAGTGATTTTTCATATTTATGTAGGCTAGAAAATAATGTTTTGTAATATTTTAATCCTTTATATTTATATCCTATATCTATTCTTATTATATCCTATATATATATCCTTAATAATTAATTTTTTTCATATGTAAAGATATTTGCCTATTGCTCTCTTGTGCGTATTAAGCAGTGTGTAAGCTAGGCGCAACTCTGCGCTGAAGTTTAGACCGGGTTAGTTTTGGTTTAATGAAAAATCTATTATAGTTTCTTAAAATAGCAACGCGCCAGCGGTCCGCCTCAGAACGCCTTCTTTTTTAGACCAGAACGCCTATGGGCGCACAAATGAGCGCTAATGCATTTGCTATTTAAACAGCACAGCGCAACGCCTCAAAACGACTCTTGCGCCAAGCTGAAACTACCAAAAGACTATTGCGCCGCACCTTGCGCCACACTGCGCCGGGTGTATGATAGGGCCCGTAGTCTTTCTGGGACGCTTTTGTGCCAACTGAGTCCTGGTGCACTACAGCGCCCTCAGGTGGTCACTGACGGATGTGACAGTTTTATAGTCACAGACCACATGACTTCAGTTAGTTCTATATGGTGGCAGCAGGACCAAATTTTTGTACCTGTGACCTGATATGTTTGCTTGACATAATAGTCAAATATTAATCCTCTGGGGTCTGATGGTGTTTCAGGAGCCTGGAGAAGTTCTGATATGCTTTGACATGTTTTTGTCAGTTGCTTGTAAACATATAAGTGGTTATACAAGCCCGAAGCCAGTCTGGTAAATGAGGTGGTTCTTTTTTGTTTCAAAAAGTGGACCTTTTTGCAGTTATATTTTCTATTTAATTTTGAGATTTAAATATGCAATTTTAAGCACTCTTTCAACTCGATTAGCTTTTTGGATAGTCATCATAACCACACTTTTTGATATGCCAAAAATATTTATTTATTACATTATAAATCATTAGAAAAATATCAGAATCTGTTAAAGTAAAAAAAAAAAAAAAAGTATTGTCATTTATTAGGCAAATAAATTGGCCAGCACATTTCTTCTTACACAACTTTCTTCGGGCAGAATTTAGCCATTAAAAAAAATGAAAATTAAATAATAATAATAATAATAATAATAATAATAATAATAATATTTTAGAGCTTCACAATTTTTCTATCCTCTCTTATAAAAAAAGTTTATTTGAAAATTCATGGATGATACCAACAATAGCCAAAATAGTATTCAAATCTATTTCAATATGGTCTATTTTTATTGTATTTTTGTTTTTTTCAAGAATAAGCTACAAGATTTGAAACACTATTTACCTTTATGTTTTCTCTGTTTAAAAACAATAGAGTAAAAAATTTTTGTTATCATTGGCCATACTAAAATGACAGCCAATTCCGCTTGGTCTTAAAGCCTTTTTCGATGGATTATTTTAACCATTTATGATGGCATAGCAGTCAAAATTGGACAAATGAGCTCATGTATGGGGCAAATTCTGGAATTTAAAAATTTCAAAATATAAGTCTGCTGGCAATTAAAAAACTGTATTGATATTTTTTTAATTTACATCACAATTTGGAAGGTAATGTGAATTCGAACTTATTTGTTGCTTATTACTTAATAGTCAATTTTAAAAAATACATATATTTGTATTTATTTGTTTTTGTTGTGTGTTTTTTGCTTTGCTAAATTATAATTATGTTTACCAGCAAAAGAGTGAATGACATAATGATCCAAAAAACAATAAAGTCTAAAGAAATTAGATTATTTGCTCTTTTTTTATTTCATTTATTTTTTTACAACAATGATATTGTGCTCAGCATAATATAAAGATATATAAGGATAAATATTTAAAAATGTATATAATTTAGATGAAATTTTACAATAAATTTAGAATTCTTTTTTAATTTAACAAATGTATTATCTTTCTATTCTCTATTCCACTGACCAAACTCTTGTTTTAATTAACTGCCTGTTCTACTAAATGGTTGACCACATTTTTGACTTATGAATAAGGAAGGAAGGTTTTTAATACTCGTTTACACATAGCTGTTAGTTTATATATATATATATATATATATATATATATTTTTTTTATATATATATATTTATTTATTTATTTATTTATTTATTTAAAAAAAGCAAACAAAGATAATCCTGTTGCACTACTACACTTGATTTTGATTTTGCTGTTAAAAAAGGCAAAACAAATATTGCATACTTCAAAAAATAAACATGATTTAATATTTAAAAATGTTTTATTTTAACTATGTTTTTAAAATAAATTGGTCTTACACTTTTTTCTTGGTGGGGCAGTTAAAGGGTGAAAGAATAAACCAGTTTAGTAATTTTTTTTGCTCAAATGCACCAAAAAGGATTGGCTATATTCACTGAGAAATGTTCATTGTCAGAAATTGACTTAAGTGGTTGAAACATCTAAAGACTAAATGGACAATAAATTGTATTAAATAAATTATATATAAATATATATATTTTATTTTTTTTTATTAAAAGTTTGTGATTTTGTTTGTGTGTTTGTTTATTTCTCCCTATTGTTTCCTAAAGCTGTTTGTTTATTTATTTATTTATTTATTTATTTATTTATTTATTTATTTATTTATTTATTCATTTATTTATTTATTTATTTATTTATTTATTTATTTATTTATTTATCCAATCCAAAATTTGTATTTATTTATTTATTTATTTATTTATTTATTTATTTATTTATTTATTTATTTATTTATTTATTTATTTATTATTATTTTATATTATTATTATTATTATTATTATTATTATTATTATTATTATTATTATTATTATCATTATTACATTTATTTATTTAGTTAGTTTTTTTCAGCTACAGGTTTTTACACAGAGAATTTCGGGTCTTTTTATTTATATTGTAAACTCTGACTCACCATCGACTCTGCATCATCCCTGAAGTAGTTTTACACCCCTACACACACATGCACACAACTCACTTACAAATAGTTCACTATGTAATAGCCTTTTCCTCCTCAACACACACAGGCACACACATTCTGTCAGTCACACGAGGCACTATCAGCCATCCCATAAACTGCGTTTGTAAAAACTGTTTCGCTCACAACAGCAGAACCATTTCGGCTCCCTATACCTTATCTGCCAGTTTTTGTTCGCCTGTGATATTCACTTCTGCAAAAGAGATCCATGTTGCCTACAGATGACTCGCTTTTGACCAGGAATCTCCCTATAGGAAACGGTCTTTGCACAGGAGATACCATTAAAATCTCATTTCCTCCCACAATGCCTTTCTGTGAATGTGAGCAGGGGCCACTTTTGTTACGTGTTGCCTGGACAGATCCCGACCGTCTTCTCGCTCCCCCAGGCCTTGGAGAAAGATTTATCGCACGTCTACGCAATTTTTTTAATTAGTTATCCTCAGCTGTAATCACTGATATTGTACTTCTCAATTGTTCCCTTTTAATTGAAAACACACTTTCGTGGCATGCATTGGGATTTGGATCAATGCCTTCAATTTTTTTTTTTTTTTTTACATCTCAGCAGCTCTACAGAAAATGATTCTTAGGTGTTTCTGAAGACAGATTAATAACGCAAACAGTCTGTTCTTATCACTCATTAGGATCATATTAATTAGTGTTAGTCTATACTGCTTTTATGTAGTATTGGTAGTCTTTTTTTATTTGGTTGAAGTTGATTGGGTGAGCATTTCTTTCAGTTCTTTTATTGCATAATGTTCTAAAGTGAGACCGCAAGACTCATTGTCAGCTGTTTTATTAAGGCGAGATGCTGCATCTGTCAGTTTTGAGCTTTTCATTAAGTGTTTTATTTTTACACTTAATCAATTTCATTCATTTATTCATTTTCTTTTCGTCTCTATTTTAGAGGTCGCCACAGCAAATGAACCGCTGATGAACAAATGAATTATTCCAGCATATGTTTTAGACAGCGGAGGTGCCTCCTAGTATTAGGAAGCACCCATACACACTCATTCAGACACACACTCATGCACTAAGGTCAATTTAGTTTATTCAATTCACCTATACATGTTGTTGGACTGTGGGGGAAACCAGAGTACCACACAAACATGGGGAGAACATGCAAACTCCACACAGAAATGCCAACTGGCTCAGCTGAGATTCGAACCTGCGACATTCTTGCTGTGAGGCGACAGTGCTAAGCACTGAGCCACTCTGCCACCCACTTGATCAATTTGTGTCTGTAAATTTCAATTATACTGCATACTTTTTCAAATGTTTTTTTTTTAACTGCACTGAGCAAATAAATGTGAAGCTCATCATTACTCACATACAACAAACTCCACATTTTTATTCATATATGTATGTGTGTGTGTATAGTGTAAGGTTGTGTTCCTACATAATTTCGTTTTCGTTATTTTTTTTATAGCTAGTTAGAGTAATTTTTTTAATTATAGAGTGATAAAGAGACCCCAAATTTTCTCAGTAAAAAACTTTTACCAATATAAACAAACAAATAAATTAATAAATTAATAGTTGGTTGATAAATAAATAAATAAATAAATAAATAAATAAATAATAAATAAATGAATAAATAAATAAATAAATAAATAAATTGACCTCATCTGATGTTCAGGTTTTTTATTATTTTTTTATTTTTTTTTGTGTGTGTGTGAAGGAAATGTATTCAAATTAGTTCATCTTTATTGAAAGATCTATGTATGTACGTATCATAGAAGTATCATGTAAAATGGTGCATCGTTTGCATATTACATGACATTTTATAAAATGTTATACAAAAAAAGATTGTTTTTTTTTTCATTCAAAGAGGTAAGGTACACAAATGACATGGAATCAAATACAAATGAAAAACAGAGAAACACAAATAACAGAAAAATACATAAAAAACAGTCAGGTACAGCCAGGTGTACAGTGTACAGTGTACAGTACAGTACGTGCATGTGTGTGTCTGATGTAAAAGGACGCTGACAATGGAGGTGCATATCCAAATGCAGTTTATGGAAAAGAGAATGGTCAGGCAAGCAATGGTTAACACAGGAAAAAAGATGTTTACAGGGAATCCAGAGTCGTTGTCAAATATCAGGCGAGTGGTCAGAAGGCAGGCAGCATACAGGAGTAAACAATAAAACAAGGCAAGGGTCTAACACTGCCAGACAAGTCAAAGGAAATGTGTCATAATCTCACAAAGATGGTTAAACAAGATTTAGCACAGGTGTGTGTGTGTGTGTGTGTGTGTGTGTGTGTGTGTGTGTGTGTGTGTGTGTGTGTGCATGCGTGCGTGCGTGCGTGCGTGCGTGTGCTGCATAAAAAGGTCTTTGTAATCAGTTCATGAGCAGCTTCTAGCTGTAAGTGATTGTAATATACCAAATGAGGAACAGGTGTGTGTGAGCGGTGCATGACTGGAACTTGTAGTCCATAGCGACTGATTTGTAACGCTTTAGCGATCTGCGTGTTTACCAGTGATCTGCCAGGATTAGATAGCTGGTGATTGTGACAGTGTTCATGTAAAGGTAACTGGGTGGACATGTCAAAGTATATAAACAAGAGAACATAAACATGTATAACAGTAGAAAGCATATAATTATAGGTTGTTAATGGTATCAATAAATTAAGTAGGAATAATATAGATCATATGCTGCACCTCTCCAGGAATTGAGTTTGAGACCTATGATATTGATAAAACATAATAGATGGATGGAATAATATTACAGAACAAAACCTATCAATGGTGGGGAATAGGGTAGTTGATCCAGAATAACATTAATATATTTATTTAACATGGTGGTTATATAAACAGTAATAACGGCAATAATAACTTTAAAAATGACAACAATAATAACATAAACAGAACAAGTGATAGATAGGTAGATAGATAGATAGATAGATAGATAGATAGATAGATAGATAGATAGATAGATAGATAGATAGATAGATAGATAGATAGATAGATAGATAGATAGATAGATAGATAGATAGATAGATAGATAGATAGATAGATAGATAGATAGATAGATAGATAGAGAATAAAGTAGTTAATTTCTATAATGACATTAATATATTGGTAAATTTTAACAATCATTTGTAACTCTAAATATAATCATGCAACTTGGAAAATATGAAAGCTATTAGTATTTTTATTTCCCTGTTCACCTGCAGAGTCTTGCCTTAAATAACCTTGTTTTCCTTATGCTCAGGCTTGCACAAACTTCAACGACAGCGGCGCTTGTGTGACCCAATGCCCACGGCCCTTCGTCTACAACCCCACCACGTTCCAGCTGGAGCACAACCCATGGGCCAAATACACATACGGAGCATTCTGCGTCAAAAAGTGCCCACGTAAGTCAGACAGAAAGAACGAATACAAACACGGAGATGCTTACACACAGTCTTTCACTCACATAAACGGATATCAGGTGCCACGTCGAGGTGCATGTTTTAGATTGAATGCAAATGAGGCGGATCGGCTGCACCTGAGTCCTTGTGCTCCACTGAGCCCCTGTGTGGAGCCATTCACACTCTCAGACCCACGAGTGCTAAATCACACTCACATTCCTGACCTCTGCTTCCCTCTTGACTTGAGGGAAAGAGAGGAAGGAAGGAAGGGAAAAAAAGATAAAGAAAGAATACTTGAAAAGTTGAAAGAGTATGCCAGTGGTCTTCAGCAGAGGATCTATGTACTGCAGGGGGGCTTGGCAATTATTGATTATTGATTGTTTGATCTTAAAATAATCAATGTGAAAAATTAAAATATGTGTTAAAAACTAAATAAGCATCGCAGTCTGTTGAGCATTGTTATTATGATTTCTCAGAGAGCAGTAATTTGTGTAAAAAAAAAAAAATAAAAAAAAAAAAAAAAAAAAAAAAAATATATATATATATATATATATATATATATATATATATTATTATTATTATTATAAATTACTCTAAGTAATTTATTTGTTTAATTAATTTAGTTTGACCCCAGATAGAGCTCAATTGTAAAAAAATATATATAATAATAATTAATTAAAAAAAATTTTTTTTGAATTTTTATTGCATGTGTATGTACAGTTGAAGTCAGAATTATTAGCACCCCTTTGAATTTATTTATTTTTTTTCTTTTTGAAATATTTCCCAAACAATGTTTAAAAGAGCAAGGACAAGCTATATTTTTTCTTATAGTCTACAGAACAAACCATCGTTATACAAAACTTGTGTAATTACTCTAACCTGCCTAATTAACCTAGTTAGGCTTTTAAAAGTCACTTTAAGCTGTATAGAAGTGTCTTGAAAAATATCTAGTCAAATATTATGTACTGTCATCATTGCAAAGACAAAATAAACCAGTTATTAGAAATGAGTTATTAAAACTATTATGATTAAAAATGTGTTCGTTAAAAAATCTCTGTTAAACACAAATTGTGGAAAAAAATAAACATGGGGGCTAATAATTCAGGGGTGGCAATTATTTTGACTACAACTGTATATGTGTATAATTGCACACACACACACATACTTATACACATACTTTCAACCAGGGCTATTTATATTGAAATTGATAGTTGGCCTCACCATATTGGTGTTTTTATGGTCCTTAGCCCAAAGCTCAACCATCTGCCTGGAGGACCAGGACATACACACATTCACTACGGACAGTTTAGCTTACCCAATTTACCTACAGAACATGTCCTTGGACTGTGGGGAAACCCGAAGGAAACCTAAGGAAAAGGAGAACATGCTAACTACATACAATAAAAGCCAACTGACCCAGCCGTGCCTCGAACCAGCGACCTTCTTGCTGTGAGACGACAGTGCTACCCACTGTGCCACCATATCACCCACACACATATATACTGTACATAAAATACAAAAATATACAAAATAAATATATTAACATATATATTTAATATTATAAATTATACATATTCAGAAATATTTTAACATTAATATTATTTATTAATGTATAACAAATATTTCATACAATATAGTCATGCATATATTTATATACACAAAACTATAAGCAATTTTTTTTGTTAATATGAACTTTTATTTTGGATCGTTTGACAGCCCTAGTTCATTTATATCAGGAATTGTACCTTAAAATAATCAGACCATAATAATGAATAGTTCTTGTGAACCAAATTAGCATATTTTAATGCTTTCTGGACGATTAATAAAAATAAGGAATGCTTTTCATTTTAAAATGCATCTTAGTAGAGAACAGTTCGTTTTCAGTATTGCTGTTGTAACTGTATTCAAATGGGCATAAATGGTTAAATTGAGGTGTTGTTTTGTTTAAGTAAAGAATTAAATAACAAAAATTGTGTAGGTTATTAACACTAGGAGTTAACGTCAGTCACACCTAAAAGTTCTATTATTATTATTTTCTAATTCAAATATATTAACAAACTAAAATGTTATGAAAAGGATACTGTATGTAACGTTGGTTTTAATTAGTATGGTGAATGCCAGCACCATAACAAACATGATAATATATTGTAAAAGCATGCACACAATGAAACAGTCTGTGAATAGACCTGATGGTGTAGTTATGAAGATATGAATCTCATTTATTTTTCATTGAAATGATAAATATGTGTGTGTGAGAGAGTGAGAGAGAGTGAGAAAGAGAGAGAGTGAGAATACAGAAGGAGAAAGTAACGGTGAAAGAATGAAAGAGAGCTGTGATGATAGGTGAGCGGGTGCCATTATTCCCCCTTGCTGGGCCGCCACAGCTGCAGAATGAAGGGTTTGCACAGCGACAGACGCCCCACTCCAGATCTCAGTCCACGATCAATGTTATTGTGCAGTACTCTGAGTTCCGCCCTGTGACCCTGACTGCCCTCCAAAGCCTCATAGGTCCACTTTATTCAATTGGACAGCAGTGAAATGCTTCATTTATTTATGCTGTCAAATGAGGGTTGTGCTATTAACCCAGATCATTTGTTCTTTTGGTGAACCTTTAAAACTAGAGTCAACAAGTCACATGCATTCTTAAAATTAAAGGTTGTTTATTGGCATGACACAACTTTGAATATCCATGGAAACTTTTCATTCCACAAAATGTTCTTTACAGTACAAATGTGTTTCATGCTTTGAAGAAAAAAAAAAGTTTCTTTGAAAAACTTTTCACAAGGTTTTTTATTTATTTATGGGAATAGAGAACATTCTTCTAATATCACGGTAAAATACTGTCAGATGTAAAAAATAGAAATAAAATAGTATACCTGCTGCCAGTGCTGGCCCGTTTGGTTGAGAGGCCCTAGACAAGATAAAAAAAAAAAAAAAAAACTGGGCCCACTGGTTAACCTATATCGCATATGTAAAAATATTTACTCAGATTTAAATAAATGAGTTTGCAAGCCAGAAAACATTCATTTTAAAAAATATTAAGTATAAAAGTATGAAATATACAGTTGAAGTAAGAATTATTATCCTCCCTTTGATTTTTTTTTTTCTTTTTTAAAATATTTTGCAAATGATGTTTAACAGAGGAAGAAAATTTTCACAGTATGTCTGATAATATTTGTTCTTCTGGAGAAAGTCTTATCTGTTTTATTTTGGCTAGAATAAAATAAGTTTTAATAAAAAATAAATAAATAAAAAAAACAGATTAAGTTCAAAATTACTAGACCTTTTAAGCAATATTTTTTAAATGGACAATTTTTCTGTACTGCCCTATCCTCGTTTAGAAGGAATCCCACCTTCCACCACATCTCCTCTTTTTCCTTCCTTTTCTTAGGGTAGTTCCTGAGACCTACCTGATCTTGGACTCCCTTATGTGCTTATTGAGGCGGGAGCCTTGAGCTCAATTATCTCCAAGCTCAGGGTTCTCTCCCGGGACAGCATGCCTAACCTGCTATTTAATGCCAAGCATATCTAAGTTGGAACTCTTGAAATTATGTTATTATTATGTGTAGCAGAACATACCTTTACTTTGAGCTTGTTTTTTGTCCTCTGCTTTTCTTTTTTTAGTTTCAGAAAGATGTCATTTGGTCACCATTTCTTTTCAAATTAAAATTCTATTAAGATTGATATTACTTAAGACTTTAAGATACTTTTTTGGCTTTATATTAAATGTAAGCAAGTTGGATAGATATGTGGAGTCTGTGTTGGAATACTTTACGTCATTCTAGTTTACCCAAAAGCCGATCGCTGGTGGTGTTATGCAAAATAAAGTGTGGTGCTGCTGGGTATGTTTCTAATAATTTCTAATTTTATTCAATTTTCGCTGTGAATTGTATCGTGTTTAATCGTGTTTGCACATTGTTAATGTCCTCGCGCTTTCACAGTAAATATACAATAGCTGCGTTCGTGGGGCTCATTAAGAAACTTGAGACCCTAGGCTACCACCTTTATTGTCTGTTGGACGGGTCACCACTGCCTGTTGCTTTTGAAGTAATATAATTGGCAGGAGTAAAGCCGTTGACTGTGAAAATGAAATCAACTTCACAGTTCCAAGTGTGTTTACTAATTTATTATTTTTTTTTTAAGTAATATCAATTTCTAAAGAAATAATTAACCCAATAATGAAAATGATCCCATAATTTACTTAGACTCAAACCATCCTTGATGTATGATCATACAAACACAAGTGGAGTAGTTTAAAATTTTACCCTGGCTCTTCCATGCTGTTTAATGGTATTGGATAATGGCTGTTATTTAAAATTTTCCAAAAACAAATAAATGTATCATCAAACTAACCTGTAACCCGCCAGAGGGGTTAACACATGTCTTGCAAAGCAGATCAATGCATTTTTTGTTAAAGAAATATTTCTAATTTTGAAATAATAAACTGCAATCACTGACTTTCAGCACACTGCAAATGCATGTTATGCGCAACTAATGTATGTGACGCATAATGTAAGAGGTATTGTAGTAGTAATATAGTATACAATGCTATACAGTAACGCAAAACAAACTAGTTTTCCTGTTTATTGTCATGTTCTGTGGTAAACAATCTCTGTGGGAAGTGGTTCCCGCAAGACATGTTTATTCCCAGAGATTCTATAAAGAATGTGTCTTACGGTTTGCGTCATATGTCAGTCCCGCAAAACATGCATTCGACCGCTACTGGAATTTAAAAACGAAAAATATTTCAGTTACAAAAATAAATAAATCCGCTTCACAAGTCATGTGTTAACCCCCTGGTGGTGTATGGGTTAATTTGATGACAAATGTATGCACTTTTTTAAGCTTCAAAATAAAAAGTACTATTAGCTTTTTATTTCTATTAGCATTTCGTCCAAAGCAAATCACAATTGAGGAGGCGTTCAGCAATTCAAAGAGAAAGGCAATAAACACAAGAAGTGCTAATTATACAAAAGAACTATTGGTGCTCGGAGAATTAGGTGCTAGAGTAAGGGAGAGTTTTTTTTAAGAAAGAAGAGCATTTCTACAGGTGGTTTGTCAAGCCCACTCGCCACTCACACTTCATTAATGCATAATGCTTTTCATGTCTGGTGCAAAACTGTTCGGTTAAAGTGTCCGAGAGATCAAAGACTCTTAGGTGGGCTTGACAGGTGGTTTATCAAGCCCACTAACCTCTATAAGTCACATGCAGTTTCTGTTTGTCGTGTGGTGGAGAGAAGTACTGTAGCTCTCTCCAAAATGAATGTTTAATGGCAAACATGTTCTATGGCAGTGTTTCTCAACCACATTCCAGGAGGACCACCAACACTGCATGTTTTAGAAATCTCCTTTGTCTGTCACACACATTACAGGCCTTTCAGTCTCTGCTAATAAGCTGATGATCTGAATCAGGAGTGTTTGGTTAAGGAGACATTGACAATGTGCACAGCTGGTGGTCCTCCAGGAACGTGGTTGAGAAACACTGTTATAGAGGATAGAAAAAGGTTACCAAATTGCAATCAAACAGCAACCATTGAGGAACGTTAGATAAATGTTCTGTGTAGGCTGTGGGTTGGTGAGTGTTTTTACACTTTACATTTTAAAAACCTTCTCACATGTAAGATGTGAAGAGAGACGTCTATACTCAAAAGCTCCATCTTCCTTTATCTGAGCCTGTGTGAGCCCTTCTTTCTTTGGTGGTGATGGATGCCACGCCGCACATTCACTGCCGGAAATGGGCTCCTTCCATCACGCACAGTCACGGTCCCCACCGCATCCGCACCGATGTGTTAATGGTTTTTGTCTGAGAATGGATGTTTCTTCTCTACCATTACAAAATGTCAATGGCCTTTTTTCAGAGAGATTGCTTAGAGTTTGTTCAGGGGAGCAGAGGCTGCCGTGTGACCGTTTGTTCTGCTCTGTGTGTGGTGTGACAGATAACTTTGTGGTGGACCACAGCTCCTGTGTCAGAGCCTGTCCCAGCAATAAGATGGAGGTGGAGGAGAACAGGATCAAGATGTGCATCCCCTGCACTGATATCTGCCCCAAAGGTAATCACACATTTTAGCATAATAATTTCTCTAATAAAAATTATATTATTTTATTTCATTTATGTACTTTTAGTACTTTTATCTTACAACTGTTTTGTGTTTTTGTGTATTTTTGGTTCATAATTAATTTACAAAAGTGGATATTAATGATTTTACTTTACCATAAAACATTTATTTAAATAATAATAATAATAATAATAATAATAATAATAATAATAATAATAATAATAATAATAATAATTATTATTATTATTATTATTATTATTATTATTATTATTATTATTATTATTATTATTAATTTTATTTTTGGCTGAGTCCCTTTAGTAATCTGGGGTGGCCACAGCGGAATGAACCGCCAACTTATCCAGCATATGTTTTACGCAGCGATGCACTTCCAGCCGCACACATTCACACACATACACTATGGACAATTTAGCCTACCCAATTCACCTGTACCACATGTCTTTGGAGTGTGGGGGAAACCGGAGCACCCGGAGGAAACCCACGCGAAGGCAGGGAGAAAATGCAAACTCCACACAGAAACGCCAACTGACCCAGCCGAGGCTCCAACCAGCTACCTTCTTGCTATGCGGCAACAGCACTACCTACTGCGTTACTATTATTGTTATTGTTATTATTGTTATAATAATTATTAATTATTTTAGTAATTATTATTTGTAATTATTATTATTATTATTATTATTATTATTATTATTATTATTATTATTATTATTATTATTATATTTATTATTATATGTATTATTAATTTTAAATATATGTTTTAAATAAAGAAAATAAGCAAATGTAATATTTAATAAAAGCACCATTTTTTCTTTAATTAATAAAAATAATCAAATATGTATTTTCTGTTTTATTACATATATATATATTATAGTAAAAGTATTTTTATCATAGATAATTTTTTTGTCCTCAATTATTTAATAAAATATTCTATGTGCAACTTTAAGCTGCTTTGGTCTGATAATCATGAAATGCATTATCTTTAGCTAGAGCAAAAATTCTGTCATTTTGTTCATCATTCATTTATTTAGTTATTTAATTTTCATTTAAATTTATTTAAGTTATCACCAGAGTTGAAAAATAAATAACTATTGAATCACCATTTTTTTTCCTCAATAGTATGACAGTAGCTGAACTGTTATCAGGATTGTGCAGCCTTTTCCAACTAGCAGCGATGGATTGTATCAAAACACAGTACATGTATTGTGCACAGTGAACTGAGGCATTTAACACTCTTGTAGATTGTCATCCCCGCCTTATTTAATTGAAAACTCTGATTGTGAAATTTAAAAAAAACCTCATTGTTATATGTTTGAAAGGATATTACTCAGGCACATTACGTCAGTGTTAGCTTTATTGGATAATAGCTTGCAGCACACAGCAAAAAAATACTTATTCGAAAGCTTAACATTAACTTAAAAAAAAAAAAAAAAAAAAACAGCTCTACAGCAGTGTTTTAAAGTTCACTAAAACAGGAAGGCAATCCAAAATGTAGGTGACCTTTTCTTAGATTTTTAGTTGAGACTTTGGTCCTTGGTGATTCATCAAATGCAAATCAGCAGCTTCCAAATAAAAAGGAAAAAAAAAACATACAGGCAAAACAGAAAAAATGAATACCCATGGCTAATGACGAGATGTTGAGGTCATATGAAGAGAAGTGTTTGTTCTGTGCAAGAAACTGAACAAATAGTATTCAATTTCTTACAGTGAGCATGTTTACATGAACACCAATAATATAATTTTAATACGTTTAGGACAATACTTTGATTGAGAGTTGACCATGTAAACAGATATATATATATATTTTTTTTTTTTTTAATGCGATTAAGGTCATAACCGAACTTAGCAGAAATCAAATTACATATATTATAATTATATATATATATATATATATATATATATATATATATATAAAAATACCGGGAGTTTTCTGGGAGATAGACCAAAACGGGAGATGGGTCTAAAATATATAAGACTCTCAGAAAAAACAAGAGTGTTGGCTGGTATGATATACATATGTATTATGACAATCATGTTCTTTCATCCCATATAAATAATGTAGCATGAATATATGAAAATCATGCTCATTTAACATATATACATCATTTTTTATAAATCGATGCACATCTTTTTTGTTAATCCAACACAAAAAAAAATCAAAATTCTTTAGTGTAGTCTCTTTCCACAGTTGCATTTCTTTATTTTATTTTTTATATCTTACAGCATGTGATGGGATCGGCACTGCCAGCCTTCAGACGGCGCAAACTGTCGACTCCAGCAACATCGACAGATTCATCAACTGCACAAAGATCAACGGAAACCTGGTGTTCCTCATCACAGGCATTAAAGGGTGAGAGTGGCTCCTTCACAGCCTCCGTCGTCTCTCTTCACACACAGCTTTACAGCTGAATATCGGATATTGGATTGTCGGAAGCCGTTTGACCTATTCTGCTGCTTTTCTATCAGATAACATCAGCTTTAATGATGCAGGAGGGAATTCATGTGGAAGAAAAGCACTAGAAAAAGCATTCACATCATGGCTAAACTGCAGTGGCCAGTTTAACAGCGTGCATTAAAAGTGCCCTTAACACACTTTTCCAGTTTAGACAGTCAAGCAAGGCCTGCGAGACCTACTGACTCTCAAGACAGCAGCAGTTAATGTGGTTTTATGTGAGAAATGTGCTGCCTGCTCTTTATATAAGGGCTGTGAAATATTTGATTGTCAGATTGTCAGGAAGCCATTTGACCTCTAGTTGACCTGCTTCCTCCAGTGGCCACTTTCTGATCCCGATGCACCTGATTGGCCGGCCCTTTTAACCCCATATAGCTGACTCTGCTTTTAAACGGCAATCCAGGGCCAGCAGCCGCAGCATGCTGGGAAAAGCCATATTCATGCATACACATCCTGATTCTGATGACATCATGTCCACCTCAAACTGTATATAGAGTGCACATATATTTTTTTTACAAGTATTCCCACATGCACAATCTCACACACACCACGTCAGCAGGTGTTTTGGACGTGTCCTCCCTGAAGATCTCCTGCTCAATGGTGCTATTAAAACCTGCTGTACTGCTCAACAGAACAGCATAAGGCATGAAAAGAGCTGGAAAAATTAATCATAGGGTCAGCAGGAAATGTTCAGAGTGCATTTGTGTTCACAGACTGAACTTCTTGACTTTATTGGATTTATTTATTTGTTTGTTTTTAACGATTAGGCTTCTCACAGTTAGGTTTAAAAGCGTGTTACACTATCAGTTTCAAGTGGTTGCAGAATGCCAGGTTTTAACTTTTAAAGGGGTGATATTATGCATTTTCAATCTTTTCTTAAGTGTGTTGTGTAGGTGTTTGTGTATAATATGTGTAAAATCTGCAAAGAGACAAAACTCAAAGTTGCCTCAAAAGACCTTAATCCAATTTTCTTCACATACCGTACTGTATATATGTGCAAATATTTGCATAGTGACATTTGTTTTTTCAACATTAAATGTCATCGCAAAATGGTGATAGTTAATGCTGTATTTGGTTCAAACCATGCGGCTAAAGCATAATTGTATTAATGTGCTCACAGAATGCATTGATACAATAAGTTAAAATGTTTTCTGATTGTTCTCTGGCTTAGATAACTGAAAAATTCTCTAGAAACCCATTTGCAAGCAAGTTTAGAACCTTAGAATTTGCCCGAATAGACTTATTTGACCATATTTGGAAAGGTTATGAATATGAATGAGCTCTAGGCATGAGACGATAACTGTTTTCAAGGTATACAGCGGTTTAAAAAAGTCAAGGTTTTAAAAAAAAAGTTTTATTTTTTAACCCAGACATTTAAAAAGAATATATTTTAGAGCAGTAATCACAATACTGTGATACCGTGAAACCATGATATTTTTATCCAAGGTTATCATACCGTCAGAATCTTATATTGGCCCATGCCTAATGAGCTCTGTTTGACATTCCTGCAGCTCATGTCAGTGCCTACACACACAGACACAAGCAAACATGATGTACTCTTAAATAAACACATGTAAAATTATCATATTTTAATCACAAATTTAGTAGATTTCTTGTTTTTTGTATCTTTTTTAACTGAAGTGGAAGAGAGGTTTATTCTAGCTAGCTATCTTTACGTCACCAAAGTAATCTAGTTTGCTCCTGAGTTTTGCTGTAGATGGAATATCCACAAAATTTCAATTGCAGTTGACAAAATAGGCAGACAAAGATGTATTTAGAGTTGAATTTTGTATGTTTAACCTATAAGAAAACACTGGCAGGAATTAAAATTAACCTCCGCAAAAAACAGTTGATTCTCATTTAAGATTATTGGAATGTTTTAATTCAGAAGAATCACAGTACGAGCTGAGTGATACAACATCTTGCATAAACACGAATTAAACACTTACATTACGTAGTGCACAAATGTTTGTTGCCTCATTACAAACATATGTGGCAAAATTCACAATATACGATACACATTAAACTAGGAAAAGATACAGTGTACATCTGTGTACATTTACACAGACATTATGCCTCCTCAGGGTGGCACTGAAATTAATTGAATTGAAAGTATAATATCAATTTAGGTAAACTCAAAAATGAGGAGAAATAAATATTGTTGTTATCTCACTAGCAAATATTATGGCCAGTATGTGGCTGTGTTAGGCCAGGGATGTGCAGAATTATCATCCTGTGTGGATCATCATATTGGTTTGTACACTCGCAGAATATACATAAGAACAAGGACATAATGGCGTTTGAAGCTCACGGTTTGACATTTCGATATACTGAACTTTTATTTAAGCATTTAGCTGTGCATGAGTATATCCAGATTTTCATTAAATGGGAATTTTAAAGTGATTATGCTATGCTATTATTTAATACAGCAATTGTTTTGCCACCAAATATGTTAAACTCAAAACAGAGAGCAAAGTTAGGGAGCATTAGCTAATTTACATAAACAAGAAAACTGTGCTTTTGCTCACACAAACAAATTTGCAAATTGGGCATGCTATAAATTATCTGTGTGGTATTTTAGGCTGAAACTGTATTCTGGAGAAATCATAGACTTAGACATAGACATAGTACAAATGTTCAAATGCTCAATCCTTTGACCTTACTGTGTGAACTAATTATGTATTTGTATTGATCTTCATATGTTTTACAGGGATGTTTACCACAACATAGAACCTCTGGATCCAGAGAAACTCAACGTGTTTCGCACTGTTCGAGAGATCACTGGTAAGTCGATTGTTTTAAAGCAACTTTAAAAAAATGAAGACACTTTAATTTTAAAACAATGTTTTAGAACTAAAACGATCTGTCCACACTGGCGCTTCACCTAGTGTTTCTGAAAAGATCTCCATCCACACTACACCGCTGCACATCACGTGACCATACACACACTCAGTCATGTGCTGCAGCGTATGCAAAGGTCTGAGCTCCAGACAGTCAGCGGGTGCTTTCAGCACACCTCCCCAGGTAAGAGCAGTGAATGTTGGACAGTTCAAGGGTATACCGCTGTATCTCATCACACTATAGTTGTTAAACGTGATAATTAATTCACCTTGTCTCTATCTAATGACTCTTTGGTCTTTTGACTCTATTGTCCTTAGGTAATGTGTTTTGCCTAAGCGCAAAGATAATTCATATATTAATTTATGTAACCATGTACACTGATTTTGCACTTTTGACTGATTGCTTGCATGTATTTATTATGTTATAGAAACTCATTGTATGTTATACTTTTATAATGGCCATTATTGATTATTAAAACTGATATTCAGCAAAAGAAAGGGTATGTTTTGTATTTTTCACTGAAAATGAAAGGAAGCAGTTATCATAGGCTCCGTTTTGTTATAAATATGCATATAGTAAAGATGATATGTAACTACACGACGCCTCCACATTTTTGATGTCTGTTAAGTTGTTAATTTCAAAATGAAAATAGGCAGTTCCTTATATCATGTTTTCGTTTGTTTGGTAAGATAGTAGTTGCCAGGGTGATGTAAATGATGTTAAAGTACACTGTTTCCTTTGAAGATTTACCCGATGTGTCATCTGAAGTTTGTTTTCTATATCAAAGTTGCGAAGTCTGAACTTACAAGGATAGGATGCAAGACTGAACTTTGTGCATTTAATATTGAGAACAAGCCTCAATCAGATGTCAAATGCCTGCAGCCATATCTCAGTTTTCAGATGTCTCCGTTTTCCACCATCCACACTGACATAGAGCAGCAGCATTTTAAAACGAAAACGGTGTCTTCAGCTTTCCAAAACGCTCCGTTTTCGGGGCTCAAACCTCCGTGGTAGTGTGGACGGAAAGCATAATGTATAAGCAAAACTAAAACGTATTAGTGTAAACAGGGCCTTAATAATGAATAGTTTTATGTCACTATAACTCTTTTAAATTACATAAATTTAAACAAAATTTAGCTGCATTTATAAAGAATTTTTGTATTTTATCTATTTTTTTTTTTTTAACCAGGCACTGCAAACTATACCTATTACAACTCCAGTGAACCAACAGGATCACCCAAGGTCCTAAGCGGACCAAATTGTTAGAGGGGACTCGATTTCATATGACAGCAGACAATGAACTAAGCTCAGGATATAAATACAAAAGATATGATTGAACTACTAACAAACAAGGGAGAGTCACAGGTGGAACTAATTAAACTAACAAATGGTGGAAAAAACTAAACAGAGGAGTCACATGACGTAAACAGAAGGCACAGGGAGTACAACACACGGGGAATCACATGACACAAATACACAATGACAACCTCTAGAACACCCGAATCATGACACTTACACTTTTCAAAGCTGCATTTATTTCATAAAACTCAGAAAGAGAGTTACAAATCAATAGTGAGGTTCCTTATTAGTAAGGGTAAAGCATTAAAGGGGTGGTCCAGAATGTTATTTTTAAGGCTTGGTTGTGTTAATAAGATGCAAAGCAATGTGTGCTCATGTTTAACTTGAAGGAAATCGTGTTATTTTTTCATAAATCTCACTTTGATTATACACAGCTACTCAGCTAACATGAAAACGACTGTCATATTTCCTAGTTCCTCTAAAAGGCCCACCCTCAAGTGACTCTGATTGGTCATCATCATAATATGCTGTGATACGCCGATCGGCTTCACGTCACGCCCTGACAAGCACGCGCGTTTTGTGTAAACAGTCAGTCAGTCAGTCAGTCAGTCAACACGTGTCTGTAACGAGTGAAAATGGGATGCGGCTCCTTTAACTGTTTCTGTGCCTTTTAGTGTGTTTATGCGTGTATACGATGAAGTATTTGTAACACGAGAAGCGCATGTGCGCGGGAGAGATTTTTATTGTTCTTTTTCTCTCATGCTCGGATTAAGTTATTTTCTATGGTGACAGAATAAAGCACAAGATGTGAGATGAGACCTTTGTGAGCCTGGATTGATTTGTTTTTGATGTTACACTCCAGTTGGGAAATCATTGCTGTATTTTTTTTAAATCAATGCGTTACAGGACGTCTTTCATGCATATGCGGAATATGCCTGTGTAAGTAACATGAATCGTTCACATATCTTTTGCGACTTTATTGTCCGAGTTGTAAAACGCATAGCATAGCTGCCTATAGAGAGAAATTCTGCCGTCTCACACAGAGAGACGCAGGTGCTGGCCAAGAGTGCGTGTATGTGTATGTGTGTGTGTGCGTTTACAGCCGTTTGATAAATATGGATTTGTAACGTTAGCTAAGTCGTTAGCGGTTACCATAATTTCCCGTTGTTTACATCTTTGCTACAACACACCGTTAAAGTTAGACACTGTACATGTCATGATCAATTTTAACAAATAAAAACACTTACAGGTCATGACTCAGAGTTCACAGCGTCTCCTTGCTCCATCTTTGAGGAGATTTTAACTGAATCCAGCACTGAACTGGGAGAGATTCTGGAAGCTGTGTTTTGTCAAATCATGCTTGCTATGTATTTTATAGTTCTCTGGAACATAATTAATATTGAACTGTAAGCACTTCTGTGTTTGGGTCGTGTCATTTGGAAGCCCAACAACAGAAACAGAACAGCTCTGTGGAAACAGCAGGATGGCATTTCTCTCTCTGCAGTAACGTTACAGCGCCTCTGGCCACGGCCTTTACCTGCGCAGTGTGGGATGCGCAATAACGAACTTTTGTGATCTCACAGGGGGCGGAAGTATTTTTTGTAGTCCCCAAAATTCGTTAATTGTAGGCGTTGCTAAGCTAACTCTGTACAAATCAAGGTCTCCCTTTGCATTAAACTTTGAATATTTTACATTCAGAGATGCTGTTTATGTTCACACAGCTACATTACACATCAACTGAAGTTTAAAATATAATATCGTAGTGGACCACCCCTTTAAAGCCAGATTCCTACATTTTGGAACCGAGCCATTGACCCATGCTTTCATACAGAAGGACATGCGAAAGAAACAAGCAAACTAAAACCAGCCAATTCACACGCCCAGATTCACATAATCCACCAGATTTATTGAAGAACTACATCAAACACAAATGACCAAAGGCAAAGAAGATGATGCAGTTGAGTGTTGTAGATGTGTGTGTATGTGATGTTGAAATGTGTGTGTGTGTTTACTCGAGTGTCCGTTTCTTTGTATCTCAGCGGGAAGGCCCTATATATGATGAATACATGATGAGGGAGATTTCTCCAGCTGAACTGAGCTTCCCGAAGGAGAGCAAGACTCTTGGCTCATAAAAAACATGAAAGCAGTTGAAAACACCCCTCTCTCTCTTTCTCTCTCTCTCCCTTTCACTCTTTACCTCTCTCGCTCTCTCTATCTCATGCTGCGGTGACAGCAGAAAGGGCTCTCCGAGTCAGTGAGGCATGCATGTCAGCCTGTCACATCTATATGCAGGTGGTCACAGTCTCTGACAGAACAACGTCTTCACTGGCAAGGTGTTATTTCTGCTCTGTGACCTCAGCTTGAAGACTTTGACAGATCCAGAGGTGCCTACTATATGTATTTCTTTACAGTCGGCTGTTAAAGCCCCCTGATATTGAAACTGATGCTTTCTGCTTGTTAATATCAATATGTTTATCCTAATGTTTTCAGTGTGTGCTCCAAACACAAGGACATAATCCACATGTTAAAGATATAAGCATTCAAAACTATCAATAACAGGCATCACGGTGGTGCAGTGGGTAGAACGATCGCCTCACAGCAAGAAGGTCACTGGTTCAAGCCTTGGCTGGGCCAGTTGGCATTTCTGTGTGGAGAATTGCATGTTCTCCCCCTGTTTGCATAGGTTTTCTCCGGGTGGTCCGGTTTTTCCTACAAGTCCAAAGACCTGCTGTATAGGTGAATTGGGTGAGCCAAATTGTCTGTTGTTTACGCATATGTATGAATGAGTATGTATGGATGTTTCCTAGTGATGGGTTGCAGATGGAAGGGCATCCACTGCGTACAACGTAGTGGTTCATTGCGCTGTGGCGACCCTGGATTAACAAAGGGACTAAGCTGAAAAGAAAATTAATGAATGAATAACCCCCATATACTGATCTTATTACCATATTAATGTAATTAATTAATATTTCTCAGTTGTTATATGAATACTTCCATTGTAACAGGACATCTTAAAATAAAGTGTAAGTCATATTTCTATATACTAAATGGTAAATACTGTAGTTTCCTATATGGAGGATAAACTATTCAGACAGTATACAGGCTTTTCAATCAGGTGAATGAAATCTGGTTTGTGACAAACCGTCACAGCACACACACTGGTCACGATAGCACAGAGCAGATATATTGGTGAGCTGGTGCGGACCATAGATCTTATTGGCCCCTTTTGCATTATACTTAATGCTGTATTTTACACCTGAGAAGAGGTTTTATAGACACAGCATTGCTATAATAGACTGTGGCTGTCAGGAGTTAGATCTGTTTTAGCTCATTGTGTCAACGTGCAGTAATATAAATTAAATGCTTTTTTTTTTTTCAAACGAGGAGGAGCTAAGTTGAAACACCCCACCCTTTCTTCCTGTTTGAATTGAAATAACGTTGCACATCAAACAAAACTGTGCATTTCCGGGCACGTCAAAGGGTATTTAAATCAAAATGTGTTTACTCACTTTGACTTAATTCTGTGTCAATTCTGGGCACTTGAAGAAGGCCATCTAAGGAGTTGCAACTGTAATAAAAGAGCATTCAGTTGGAAGTAAAATGCAGCCCTCTGTTTTTTGGCACCAACTGAGTGTGTTATTTAA